CTGAATTCTATTTGCTAATATTTTGTTGAAGATTTTTTTCATTTCTGTTCTTGAAGGAGATTGTCCCATAGTTTTCTATTTTAATTAGGCCTTTATCTAGTTTTGGGATCAGGTTGGTGCTGGCTTCCATAAATGAATTTGGAAGCATTCCATCTCTTTCAATTTCTTTGTAGAGCTTTAGGGATAATGGTTATATAACATCTTGTGCATTGTAGTTACTTGAACCTTTGTATTTTTATACAATCAATTTCAATTCCTGTTTCATATACAATATTATTTGTTTGAGTCATTGATTTATGGATAGCCTAGCCAAAGTTTTGTCAATTTCATTTATCTCTTCTAAAATGCAATTATTTATTGATCTGTTCTATTTTGTTTTCTATTTTATTTCTGCTTAGATCTGTATTTTATTTTCTTTATTCTCTTAGATTTGTAGTTAATTTGTTCTGTTTCCTCAATTTCTTAGGGTGTAAAATTGGTAAATAGGTGTTTTATATTGGCATTTATTATAAGTATACCTTTTATAATTACTTTTGATGTATCTCATAAATTTTGATAAGCTGTGTTTTCACTGTCTTTGAATTTTTCCTTTACCCACTAATTGTTTAGTACTGTCATTTAATATCCACGTTTGTGACTGTTCTAACTTTGAGCTTACAACTGATTTCTAGTTTTCTATCAATGTGACCAGAAAAATTTAAAATGACTTGAATCTTCTCAAATATGTTAAAATTTACATTAAGGTATAATATGTTATCTATTGTAGAGTATATTCCATACATGCTCAGAACTAACGTATATTCTACTGGTATTGTATATGTTGGAATGTTATAGATATAACTTATTAGGTCCAGCTGGTTTAATTTATTATTTAATTTCAATGTTTATTAGTTACTTTGTTAATCTGGATAATATTTTATTATTAAAATGGAGATATTAAACTTCACTTCTATTCTTGTATTGCTGCCTCTTTATCCCTTCACTGCTGTTAATATTTGCTTTACCTATTTAGGTGCTCTGATATTATTGGGTTCATTTGTACTTGAAGTTGCTATGTCTTCTTGAATAATTAATCTATTTATCATGATAATGATCTCTTTGTCTCCTAAGATATTTTTTGAGTTAACATCTATTTTTGTAAACTGCCTTTGACTTTTATTTACATGGAATATCTTTTTCTTCCCTTCACTTTTAGACAATTAGTGTTCTTTAAATTTGGGTGTCTTATAAGCAGTTTACAGTTGGGTTTTGACTTTTTAATCCATACACCTACTTTCTTCCTTTTGATTAAAGTATTAAAGCCCTTTCCTTTAATTAGTGACAAGATAAGGTTTTACTAATGCCATTTTGTTGCTTTTTACTTGTTTTGTGGATTTGTTACTCTTTTTTCCTCTCTTGCTGTTTCTCTTTGTGTTTTCATGATTTTCTGTACTGGTATGCTTTGATGTGTTTTAGAGTCCATAGACCTGTTATGTGTTTTCTGTTTGGAGTTACTGTGAGACTACATTAAAGATCGATTATAAAGCCTGTCTAAGCATAATAATTCAACTTCATGCACCAATGTTTATAGCAGCACAATTTGTAATAGCCAGATCTTGGAAACAACCTAAGGGTCCAACAACTGAGGAATGGATTAAAAAAGTTGTGGTATTTTTATACAATGGAGTACTACTCAGCTATAAAGAATGATCACATTGAGATATTTATAAATAAGTGGGCGCAGCTTGAGACCATACTCGAGCGAAATAAATCAAGCTCACATATATAAATACCAAATAGTTTCCCTAGTGTAAGAAATGGTAAGAATACATAAAAGTATGTGGTAATCATGATTACCCATTATATTGCTTTGAAGCCTTATGATGTTTTCATTCATTAATTGGAATGGTTTTATTCTGGGGTGTTTGATTTTATTGTCTGTGATGGTATGAACAGTTATTTTGAAGAAAACAAGATGTTATAATAGCTAGTGCTGAGTTAATATCAGCTTGTTTTGAAGCCCCAGCAAGTTTTTGTTCTTCTGTCTCCATCGGTTTTATCATGTTATATCTTACTGGATTTTATTATATGTGATAGTATAAACAAATTATTTTATAGTCAAGGAGATAATATAGAAACTGTTGTTCGTTTTCTATTAGTTGGTTCTAAATACCCTGTGATACTTTTACCCTCTTGAATGGTTTTACACTGTGTTGTTTTGTTTGATAGTATACGAAGGCATATTCAAATATTTCAAGGAAAGAGGTAACTACTGTTATGTCAGGTTATCCTGTGGTGAAACACTATGTTGCTTAAATTGATCTGTTCTGACTTGTGTTGTTATGTCCTCTTTTGTCTTAATCTCCCCCTTTATTTAAAAAAAATTTAAGTAAAAAAAAAAAAAAACAATTCAACTTCATGCAACAGGCTTGTACCGTTACCTGTCATTCACCTACATGGACATTTTGGTTGCTGAAATAAAATTATATACATTTTTATATTGTGTGTCTATTAAGAAAATGTTGTAATTACACATATTTTCTAAGCTTTGTCTTTTTTATTATAAAGAGAAAAGCCAAAATATCACAACAAGATGATAAGAGGGTAACAATGGTGAATACATTGCATATTGTTATCTTTAAATTAGTTACTCAGAGTACAAGATAGCATTTAATTGTCCAAACAATATTAGAACAAATCTTTCTTTGCAAGTAACAAAGATAAGTTAGTAATATAACTGTCCTAACTATCTCTTAAATATAGATACAGATTTTTTTGTTTTTCCCTTCTTTTCTCCATTCCCCCCTCCCAGTTTCTCTTTTGAAGCTTCTTCCCATTTTACAATATTTATTGTACATTTCGCATTCTATTTAAACTTTTAGTTTTTATGCTAGGAAACAATATGATATGCATACATGAGAGTGTGACTTACTTCACTTATTAGTGTGGTCTCTAGTTGCATCCATTTGTCTATAAAAACTCAAGTTTACCTTCTTTGTCACCGAGTAATACTCCATTGTATATTTTTATCCATTCTTTGATTAATGGACATTTGGGTTGTTTCCAAGATTTACCTATTACAAATTGTGCTGCTATAAACATGGGTGCACATATATCACTGTGGTATGATGTCTTTAATTCTTTGGGGAAAATATCCAGAAGGAGAATAGCTGGGATCTCAAATTCTAGTTTTTAAACTTTGTCTTTTTAACCATTATTTTAGAATTAACAACATAGATAGCACTATTTCCATATCAAAATATTATGTATTTGAATATAAATTTGCTAAGTTTTTTGCTTTCATATATTTTCGTGTTACTAATTAGTGTCCTCTCATTTCAGTTTTAAAAACTATCATGGGCATTTCTGAGAGGGTAGTTTAGTCGGAATGAATGCTATCATTTTTTATCTGGAAAAGTTTCTTATCTTACTTTCATTTCTAAAGAACAACTTTACTGGATACAACACTATTTTTTGCCAGTATTATTTTCTCCTTTTAGTTGTTGACTAAATCATCTCATTTTTTGTACTTCGTCTTCCTATTGAGATATCAATTAATAGTACTATGTGTGTTCCTTTATATAACAAGTTACTTTTACACCTTTCAAAATTCTCTTTGTCTTTCACTTTTGGCAATTTAATTATAGTATGTCTCAATAAAGTTATCTTGGGATTGAATCTATTTTAGAAGTTCCTGTGTTAGTTCTTGTGATGGCTAGCAACTGGATGAATCACAATGAAGTGATTCATGATGATGATTTGAAAGGCAGAAACTTTTTATCACATCTTTTTTGCAAAAAACTGGCAGGCACTTTGAAATACGTGATCTCTTTGGTTTTTAAAATAAGAAATTTGTTAATGTTTGGGGACATAGTTTTTGTTGTTTGTTTGTTTGTTTGTTTGGTTTTTTTTGAGGGGAAGGAGTAGCTAAAAATTTATTTCACTTCCGTTGCTCTGTTGTAGCTCATCACATTCCTGTGTTACTCTCCCAAACCCCACATATACCAAAGAAGCTAAGGTCTTTTTGTCTATAGGACACACATGCAAGAATGGAAGAAATCTTGGCTACAATAATGCCCTAGAGATGTTTATTTTCTTGCATTTTGAGATGAACTAAGCTCATTTTTATCTCGTTTATTAAATTCCTACTGTTCACATTATATCCATTGTGAAATGGAATTTTTAATGAGTGAAAATAATTCATAAAGGTCATTCCCTTGTGGGAGCTAAATGCCTGCCTGGGACACCTGTTCAGTGCCACTTAGCTAGGTGACCTTTGGTCATTTTTACAGTATCCATTTCTTGAGGGATTCTGGAGGAATCTCTAGGGGAAGCTGTCTGGTTTATTTGCTTCCTTGCAGTCTCTGTTGCTCTGAAGGCTCTATCTTGTTGAGGATACCCAGCAGATCCTTCTGACTGGTACTACAACTTTTGGTAACAAAATGATAACTTTCTCACCTTTTTGCACTGTATTTTGCCTAACTTATTAAAAGAAAATAACTTATTAACTAGATTTCCTGATTAATGGATATAGTTATAAACAGGAATTTCATAAGTATATATTAAGTACATGTTAAGTCATTGAGTATCGAAATCTAGTTAATAAGTTACCAAAAGTTGTATTTTCTTATATCTACTATACTGTAAAAATTTTAGATATATGGAATTGATTTTAACTTTTTAAAATTAAGTTATTCAATTTTAATGAATAAAATTATTTTGGATCCTAAGTACAATTTTATTCAAAAAACGCATTTTGTGACTATTGAAACAGGGCATTTTTTTACCAAGGTCCCTTTGTCTTGTAAAAATATTTTAGATCATTTTTCTATAAAAGCATAAAGACTTAGTTAAAGAGAAGAAAGAGTAATTGCGACCTTGAAAAACAACCAATAAAGTATAATAGCAGATCATCCCCAAATCTTGGCAATATTTTACAGTAATATTATATTTAATTTACAGATAAGAATAATCATACTTCTGGTACCTTCTAGTTGCAGTTTTCTCTCTCTTTTTCTCAGCGTTGCATTTGGAAACTGCAATGGTTTGGCTGTGGTGGATTTTATACAGAAGACAGTACTGTTAAGCATGGGAACAATTGACCTATATAGATCAAATGACTTGTACCAGAGACAGCCACGGTCTCCTAGAAAGAACAAGCAGTTCATTGGAGGTAGGAGATAAAACAAGATGGGTTATGAACTTTTTTTATTCATTTTTTTTCTTATTTTCAGATTTATCTTCTTTGATGCTATTGACATGCATGGTATTATAAACTCAACATGATTTATAATACAATGTAAGTAAAATGGATTGGACAGAAACAAAGTAGGATCTTTGAAATGTAAGGGACATATTAGAAGTCAAATTGGTGTTGAAGTAAGAAGCATCTCAAGTTTCTTAGGTTGAATTTCTATGAAATATCATAAAATAAGAAATTATTAAATATAAAAATGCTATTAAAATCAGTATTCTCTGGATGAAAAAGCTGCTTACATCTTTCTTGTTATAAATGTAGCCCCTTTAAAAAGATAATTTAATATCATTTACTCTTAATTTTATAAATAACTACACATGTAACTGTCACCTTTTTTTAATGGATGGTGAATTTATTGAAAATGTTTTCAGAAATTCAATAAATACTAGTGGTCCTTTAAAAATGCCATGAAAGGTGTTATCTTTGACAGGACAAATAAGGATTTTATTTAATCATAAAGGGAAAGAAATTTACGGTTAATTTGGAAATAATGCAAAATTTTTGATGTGCTAAACTATCTAAAAATTTGCTGGAATTCCAACATACATCATATATATATAATATACAGATAAGAATAATCATACTTCTGATATGTTCTAGTTGCATTTTTCTCTCCCTCTTTCTCAGAGTTGCATTTGGAAACTACAATGGTTTGGCTGTGGAGGATTTTAAAACTATATATATTATGAACGTTGCCAAAATTTTGTGTATATTTTTTGTTCAATGAAATAAAAATTTAGCAAAATCTTTGCAAATTAAAATGATTCTATAGTAATCTGTGTTATTTTAGACAATTTAAAAAGTTTTCTACTCTTATTTAAAACAGTCAACTGGATATTTAGGCTTTTATTGAACATACTTATGGGAAGACTATTTCATAATAATCGTTAAAATCTTACATGATGTTGGTTCTTATTTTCCAGAATGTGGTTATGCCAAATTTAACATTTGAATGTGATAGTAAATTTCTTTTGCACTAATGAAATTACATATACTGAAGTTTTTTTCTGTTACCCTTTCTTTTGTTAATTCTAATACTTTGCAGTTGCTAATTTAGACCCTTTTCAGAGACACAAAATTTCTCCTACAGAACCTGAGGACTTGTTTTTAAAGATCGCAACTTTTACTAATATTTTAGGAGAACTAGAAATTTAATGTTTCACAAGCTATTTTTCCACCAATACTAGCATTTGAAAGAACAAAATTAGAGAAATTATGCACAAATGTACCATCAAATTCCCTCATGACTGGAAAAAAAGAAGGTTTACTTTCTGAAAATTCAGTCTCTAGGGTTAGAAGCTTTCGGTAAGGTATCATTTGCAATGCTTAAAACAATTCATTCAAAAAAGTTTTGGATCATCTGACAGCATCAAAGTTACTTGCTGGACATGTACACTATGGTGAAAAAGAATGTTTTTTCATAGAAAAAGTAATTCAGAATTCTTAAATCTCACAAATTAGGATTACAGTTTAGAATTTTGATGACTTTAAAATGGGAAAACTATCATGAACTCATAAACTTGGTCTACATTGTACAAGATGACTGCAATAAGTACTCACTTTAAATTATAAAATGAAATAGTGAAGCCTAAATCCCTCAGCATACTTTTAATTACTAGAAGATTAAAGATAATCATTTGTATGTTATGAAGGAATTTCTACTTATTACAAGCCAAGTAAGTATACATATAATAAAAATATGCCATCATTTTCTTCTATTTGATTAAATAAAATTGCTACAGCATTTTCATTATTCATCTATCACCTCTTGCTAATTGATTTATTTTTAATATCTTCTTTCTAATTTAATTACCTAATCTTGCTGCAATTTCTTCATCTTGGCTGTTCTAGATTCTGGTATGATATCACTTCCTTTCACTTTAGACTATTTTTTTCTCTTTCCTGTGCCTGCTGCTGATGCTGGTGTTCTGGCATGTTCCAAAGACAACTTTTGCATGCGTGGCCTGTCTAACTTTTATCCTGATTTAACGAAACGGATCCGTACTTCCTATCAGAGTAAGTTCTATAAAGGTTAGGCAAATAGCATTTTTGAGTTGTAATGCTTAAATTATCTGTGCTCAGTAATGTGTTTTTTTAAAAACACATTCAGCATGCATGCAAATTTTTGTGTTATTATGTAAATAAGACCTGATAATTTAAACATAATTTTGTATGCATCTTAAATCATTATTGTCATGAATTCATCACTCATGCTTTTTGTTTCAGTGTTTATTTAAAACCATGCAGACTATGTCCTTTCAAGAACCACTGTCTTTGGTCTTGAGGGCTAAAAGCTATGATGTCTTTATAAATTAAAAAACTAACAGACTATATCAATGATAAGTTAATGATTTCTTATTTTGGAAATCTTTTGCTCTTATCCACTTTATAGCATTTTTCTAAACAGTGACACAATTTTTGTTTTTAACTAAGTTCCTAATTTTAGATGCTTTTTATCAAATGACAATACCCAAGTCCACATTCTCTTACATTAGTTTTTGGTACCAGATTCTTTATAAACAGAGAAACTAAGATCATAAATAAAATGTTGAGTAATATTAATATTTCCCATGGTAGCAAATGCATATTGAAAGACAGTTGGAGTAAGCAGTTCTAAGCCTCTAAGATGGGTGCAGCAAACATGAGGATTAAGGCCATTTGTGACTAGAAGTGTGGATCATACTAGTGACAAGGATAAAATGTATTGACATGAAAAACATTTTTATTTTGTTAATATATTATGTGGGAAATTAAGTTGCTTGTGAATATATACAAGATGGCCTTATCTTTGTATAAAATGTGAATATACATGTACATTGTGTACATATGTACCACACATATATATTATTTATAACCTGAATTTCTTCAAACATCAATACTTTGTGCATACTAATGGAATCACATCAATCCTAAAATTTTACTGGCTTGTATCCCTAACTTAAGTTGCCTCTCTGAAATTCGTAACATTTTTATTCAATGCCCAGTAATATTTTTGCTCACAAATATTGTCTGGTTTTCAACTTTAGCATTGAACCTATTTGAGGTTATATCCTACATCTCTGTTTCCAGTACCTTACGTGAACATACTAATACATATATTGGCTTCTGGTGCTCCTAAAACAGAAACTTATTAGATACTTGGATATTTGTTGACATTTGAAAGTTACATAAATTTTAGTTTTCATAATAAAGTGATAGTAAAATACAACCACACTCAAAATTTATTTGCACCTTTTCAATGTCTAATACTTCAATGGCAGAGTAAGTAGTTCCAATAAAAGGCACATAGCACACAAGGCCTAAAAAAGGCCTTTACTGTCATGGTCTTAACATTAAAAATTTGCTGACAACGGTCCTATACAGTATCATTCTTTTACGCCCATCTCCTACAACTACATAAAGGGTTTCGGTTAAAACCTTAACTCTAACTAATTTCCAGAAGTTTAAATTCCAATTTAATGCTCTGAAGCTAGAATCCCTATATGTTGTGTGTATATGTACTTTCTAGAGAAAACTTTCTAGAATTTAAAATTGGACTTTTACAAAATTCTCCCTTTACCTTTATTATGTATTCTTACTTTTCTATCGTAAATATGTAGTACTTTTCAGATAAAAACAGAAATTATGAACTGAGGATAAGGAATAAATTCTACAAAGCTGGCCATGTTACAGAGGTTTAAAAAGAATAATTTTATATTCCCTTCAGAATAAAATACCAAAGCTTTTAAATCTTTATTTAGGGGCCTCTGAAATATAATTCCTGTCTACATTCCAAATGCATTTTTTTTACTTTTATATAAAAAAACTCCCCTTAAACCAACTGTTTGTGTCTTACTATCCTTATAATTTATTCATATCCTCTCCTTTCTAGAAAATGCCTTGCTACAAGTTGACTTTGTCCTACCTTTAGAGCCCTGCTGTACTAATTTTTTTGCTCAAATGTGTGCAGTGGCTGCAGTATACAGACATGTATACAGTAGTGTCTTCAGTGTTTGATTCCTTTGCATGGCTACTTAATTTCATGATAATTACTTTCTCTTATAAATGCATGGCAAGAATTTGAGGACCACATCAGATAAATTTTAAATTTGAATTTAAAAATAATAGTAAAATAAAAAAGAGAAAAAATTCTTTGTATCCTCTATATCCTGCACAAGTTATAAGCTAAGTAGATAAATAACAGTAGAACAGTGTATGATAGCAAGCTGTTTTGTCTCTCATGAACAGACAGGGGAATTTTCTGTTTGTTAAATGAAAGGATGACTAATTTCTGTCATCACTGAATTCACTAGAATTTTATAAAACCAATGATAATTTATTTAACTAGACTTCTAAAATGTGAAGTCAGAAGCAAAAATCAAGTCATTATAAGGATACTCCATGTTTCTAGCATTGGTCTCCATAAAGATATAAGCCCTGGGGTCTGAAATCACATGTCCTGAAGTTTTCTTTTGATAATTAGCATCATATGTTACACAAAGAAATGACTTTATTAAATGACTCAAAGTTATACTCGTTTGCTTTTTAGAATAACTTTTATTAAAACTTAGCTTAAAATATAACTTTTAGCTAATATAATCTGGTTATATTTGTATAATCTTCTATTAGTATAAGAGAAACTTGCAATTTTTTCATGAACTACTTCTTGCCAGAAAAGCCTAATCATTATCCCTGTTTGAAGAGATTGAATTAACTTCTATTAAGGGTCCATTCTATTCTGAGAATGTGCTGTGCACTTTGACTCAATTTTGTATTATTTAATAATCATTATAACACTTTGAGAGAGATGAATATATAGTGTAATCCTCTACTGATTAGAAAATTGAAGTTGAAAAGATTAAATTAGTGTCTTAAAATAAGAACAAATTTATGCCTGACAATAGTGACCCCTGTAGCTTCTACTGTATGATCTCTAATTGCCTTTTAAAGTTTTGTGTACATTGAAAGCCAAATCCATTACTCTATAATCAGAAAACATTTTCCCTCAGTTTTTGCCTACTGTAAATGAAATAACATATTTTAAAATGAAACAATTTGAAATCATTTTTCCTATATTTTAAATGAGGGTACTAAACAAAGTGCTCTGTGAAGGTCCCTTGTATCTGTAAACATTTTTGTATCATATTTTATCCTATTATATCAGTTTTGCTCCTTAAAATGATGTGATATCTCATTTGAACTTACTGCTTTTACCTTCTGGAGAAAACATCTTGATTTCAGTATTCCTGGGCTTTTTATTGTTTACTTTATCACCCTGAGTAGAATCTGATAAGTCGTCTTTGCTAAATCATCTAATTCTCATCTGCAAATCTTTCACATCATTAAATAATGAATTTGTATACTTTTCCATTTTAAAGAGAAAAAAGTTTCAAAACATGGTAATTATAGGGTAACACTGGTTAATATGTTTCATATTCTTTAAATTAATTACTCAGAATACAAGATATCCACATTTAATTGTCCAAACAATATTAGCACACACTTTTCTTTTCAACTAAGAGAAATTAGTATTATAACTATCTTAACTATCTTTTAAATATGCATATATGTATATATTATGAAGCTGTATACTTGAAAGAATTTTCATATTTTACAAATTATTTTCAGAAGCAATGAAATACTTTTGAAAGAAATAGCAGACTGTGAGAAGACTTAGACCAGGTTCTACGTATTACCTACCAATTAATGTGTAATCTTAAGAAAAAAATGTAACTCATTCTTTCTATACATAAATATACAATAAAGTAAAAAACATAATCCTTGCTTTCTTTTGAGAATTGTGGAATGCATGTGTTAATGTTTATGAAAGTGCTTCTACCAATATTAGATGTTTATTACTATATGTGATAAAGTGAAGACACAGAAAAGTTAATAACTTTCCTACATAATAAACAGTCTACCAAAATGTTAAGACTAAAGGTTGGTGTGTAGTGTTTAACTCATGATAATGACAGAAATTTTACTAGTTAAAAACTGATCATATGTCATTTGAGTTAAAGTAAGTTTGAAAAATATTTTTAAGGAAAAAGTCTCTTTAAAATGTGCTTGTATATCAATTTCTATTTTTGCAACAGGGAATTATTTGGAAAAACTCAAGCCCATCTATTGATAGTTTCTTTCTTTCACTGAATTTTGATTGTTTTTGTTTTTGTTTTTAGTTTGAGTAAAGATAGCATGTCCTGAAACACAAAACAGTAAAATAAAGAAGGCATGAAAGAAAAGGAAAGAATAAGAGATCTAACAGAGAGGGCAAATAGATATTTTTAAAAGACTAGAAATAGTCCAAAACAGAAGAAAAATAAAACAAAGACAAGAAAAGAAGGAATATTGTAAGGGAATAAAAGCAAAATACACTAAACTATAAATTGAGAAAAACCTTGAAAGACTATTGGACAGCTACTAGGTCAAACATTTATTGTATGCATTAAGTGCACCATGATAACGTGAAGCGACGGACCTTTCCATTTAGCCTAGGTAATATACAGATAAATAAATCTGCGGGTATACTATTATAATTGAAAAAAGTTAGCAGTGGTGTGATAGAGAAAAAATGAGGTCAGACGATAGAGTTGAACCGATTTTCAGTGTTGCCAGAGAAAATGTATCTAATGAGAAAACTCTTAAGTGAAACTTTGCCAGATAAGAAAGAACCAGTCCACAGAGTAGAGTAATAGGCACCATACTTGGTTTCCTATTTGCAACAACTGAAAAATAAAAGACAAAGAAACTTTAAGGCACAAGACCTAAACCAATTCTTAAAAATTATATATGACAGATGGGAACAACAGAAATGAGCCCTGCAATCACCAATTAAACCTACTTATTGAAAAAGTTGGTAGACTATAGAAAAGGAGGAGAAGCTCAGATAGAAACTGGTCATCTCCCTGAGCTGCACCACTAGAGATGAGAAAGCAGGGAACCCAAAGCAACTACAACTGACAAAGAATTCTAGTGATTGATAGATTTTATTCCCAAAGAAAATATTTCAGCAATCAGCAGAGCTTACTTCTCAAACA